AGATGCGGCAGTGGCTACCCCAACCCCGCTGGTGTCAGCCCACGGCACAATGTCAGCCTGGGCTTGTCCTGCTACCTTGGGCAACGAGTGTGGCTCAGCAGTGTGGCAGGGTACTGCTGTCATGGGCACTGTCCACCCTGATACCAACTTTAGATGTATTATATTCTGAGTTAATATCACTTTGAAATTTATAATATCCATGAAAATATTATCTCTGTACTTAAATCCTGTAGTTTAATTGAATAGAGCCATCATTATCCAGAGCTTGTTTATGTATTGCGGCCTGAAAAATAGAGTCAATTTTCCAGACTGAGATGATGAGCGTGAGCACCAAAGGAGTTTCGTAATTGAATTTTAATAACCGTGACTTCTTTTAAGAACCATAAATAATAATTAAAAGAAATTGTAGTGCTTTGCACAAAACTTTGGAAGGAAAACTATGCCATAGTAATATAGTGGGAGTTGTGTATTATTATTATTATTATTGTTAATTGTTCTTCTTATTATTAGTGCTTATTATGATTTATTTTATTTTGTTGTCAGATGTGCTCTTTGCTGTGAGGAGGAGCTGCTATGGGTTTGGGTTATTTTTAGGTGTGAACTTGAACACTGTTGAGGTGCTTTTGCTCCCACTGGTGGCTCTGGAAACTGAATGAATTACTCTGAATTTTTTCCTTATATTATTTCCCTGAAAAATTCTGGAAGCAAAGTCCCTTTGGGGCATATTCAAGCACTGTGTTCAAGGCTGTTGCAGTAGCCCTGCTGCAGTGCATGTTACAAAGTCCAGGTATGGACCCAACGGACCTCATCCCTGCAGCCCAGGGAGACTCCGGGGCCAAATCAGGCCCAGTCTGGCCTGGGACAGCAGGACCCGCTCCTCGTCCTCATGGTCATGGCCCTGTCCCCCAACCCATCCCAGTGGCTTGCTGGGTGCAGCCACGCCAAGTCACCCCATCCCTAATTGCTTCATTCATCCTGATGTGTATTTATTAGGAAAACTTAGCGCCCGTTTTGCCAGGCTCTGGTGCTCAGCGTGACCCTGGCGGGGCAGAGCTGGCCGGCAGTCAGGCAGTGCTGGGTTGCTGACACTCTCCTAGCTGAGCACTAGGGCTCAATTGGCAATTTATGCCCGGTTCACAGCAGCAGATTTTGGCAGGTACATGGGGAAGGGAGCGCTGTTCTCCCAACCACTATGGCCAGTGCAGGGGAGCAAGTCAAGACTGCTCTCTAGAAAAATGCAACCTGCCCATGTTGGCCTGGATGTTGAGTGTAAAATGAAGGCTAAAGGACAGGACAGTATTAGTTTTTCATGCCTCCCCGTCTTCATTGTGCGAGTGCTTTACATACAAATGGGCTGATTTCAGCGTGGGCTCTCCCAAGGCCAAGGTGTGGGAGGTGCCTGTCCCTGCCACCACTGTGGGGAGGGCTGGCCCTCCTCACCCCAAAACCAACCTGAAACCTTCAGCCTCGTAGGATTCTTTAGGGTCAAATAGTTGCTGTTTATTGCTCTTACTTAACTCTTACTTATTCCTGAGCTTATTTTACTGTGGCTAAAGATACACGGGTGGGCTCAGCCCGAGTCCCACTGTGTACAACAGGCACCAGCAGCTGGTGGCAGCTCTGCAGAGCACGGGGCCAGGGTTGGCGGCCTCACGGCTGGGACCCTTGGCCAGGCATCCCACTGCAGGTGGCTGCGTTCCAGGGTGCGCTTTGGCCAGCAGGTACCAAACTGGTTGCTCAGGGCCCATCCTCTCCTGCTCTGCAGTGGCACAACCTGCCTGGGACCTTCACTGCTGTGATTTTCCTTTTCCAGAAGCTGCTCCTCACATCCCAGCCGTCCAAGCGCAGCCCGGTACGGCCCCAGCTCAGCCCACTGCAGGGGCCAGGTGCTCGCAGGGGGATGTCACCTGTGGTGGCCCCTGGAAGGAGCCCAGGGAAAGGGCTTCTGACGGGGCCCACCAGGCTGGTTGAGCCAGAGCTGCTCCTGCCGGGGTGCAATTTGGGTGCACGCCATCTGTTTAGTACCAGGATCGCTTTCTATGGCTCATAGCTGGTGGTGACTTGGAAAAACCAAGCTGTGTCTGAGGCAAGCTCAATAATCTCAAGTCGGGATTAGCTGCAACATTGGGTGAAGATTTTTTAAAAAAAAAACAAAACACAAACCCAAACATTGATGAAAATGCAGGAAAATACAACCGTGTAGTCAACATCTGAGGAATTTACCCACGCTACTGCCCACCCCTGGGGCTCACCATAGCATCTCCCACCCTGGCTGCAGGTCCTGCCCGTTCCCTGCCTCCTCTGTGGGGCCCTTCGGACCCAACCAAAACCAACCAGCTTCACCCATCCAGAAAACAAAAATCAGTGTGTTTGCAGGGCGCCAAACCAGAAATAGGTATTTCCCAGCAATGTCCTTGGTTCAGCATTTTGGGCGAAGCCTGGGTGGTACCTCTGGGGCCCGAGGCACTGCCTGATCTCAAACTAAATCCCTGTAGGGCAGCCCAGACGGAGAGAGCCGGGTGTGCCTGGCCAAAGGGATGTCTGCCAGGTGGGACTTTCTCTCCTCTGGTGAAAAGATCAGAGGGCTCTTTATTTTTGTTTTTCTTTACAGTTTTATTTACAAAATGTATTAAAACTCTTTGTACAACACCTCATTAAAATGAGGCTCAGTAATTGATGCCCACACATGCAGTTTATGCTTTTACAGCCATTAGTTTGCTTGGCAATTTTTCTGCTCACTGAAGTGCAGTTTCAACGACCAAAAATAGGAACTTAAATCACAAAAAAAAAAAAAAAAAGAAAAAAAAAGGAGGAGAGAAAAAAAAAGCAAAAGGAAAGAACCCCAAAATCCCCCAAAGGAAAACAAATGAAAGAAACCAGACCAAAACAAATCATCGTGAGACTACTGCCGAAATTCCCATAGCTTGACGTTGGTAGCCAGAATTGGTAAGCACTCAACACGGTTTTTGTTTTAGCTTTACATGCAAGTTTAAAAAATATCGAACCATTTACCAAACTCCCTTCACTGGTGTGAAGCCTCCACTCGTAAAAATTGATCTGATAAACATACATCTTTTGTACAGCCTTTAAGAAAAATGTCTGTGTTAAATACAACTCGTAACCGCACAGCTTTAGCTCGCCCTTGCTGGGGACGTGATCGCGTTCGGAAGTTGAAAAAAAATCACAGTTTCATGAAAAGAAAATGAAAACAAACCAACAATTTTTTGTCAATATCTTGTTAAAAACTCGAACAATAAATTATTCTCCTATGAGCTTTTAAAATGATTTTATATTACATTTTGTTGGAAATACCTATTTTTAACAAGACTTTCCCCATATAATCTTTTTCTTGTTTTTTTTTTTTTAAATCCTATTAAAAGTTCAAATCTATCATCAGCAAACTAAACGCCTAAGGGTCAGACTGCTTTAAATGAGTTTCTTTTTCACTGTATGTTACTGATGAAATAAAACCCTATAGTAAACTACAGAAAATACATATTGTCGATTAGAGGTAATTAGTATGCAGATATTCCAGCGAACATTTCCCGTGTGACTGACAATATGTTTAAAGGTTGGTTGTTGGTTTTTTTTTTGTCTTTTGCTTTTTTTATTTTTTTTGTTTAAAGATGAAGTTAAGTAGTTTCCAGGCAGAGGTTCAAGGCTGAAACGCTGCTGCTGTCTACGCCACTGGATGTGAGTAATAGTGAGCCCCTACCTACAGCGGTGTTGGCCGGCGCGCGGTGCCCTCTCTGCAGAGGACAAGGGCAGGAGCATCCTCTCGCCAGCAGCCATGAAAGAAGAGCTGGCAGGAGCTGATATAATATAACAGTACTAGCAGGAGTCATGTTAGATCGCTTAATATTACTCTGTAACTGCAGTTCTAATTTGAGTTACTACCCTCTTTCCTTGCTTCTGTTTTAAAATGACCGTCACCGAGAAGCATCAGCTGAGCACAGTGCTAGTGGGGAGCAGGCCTGGGAAAAACCAACCTGCACTCCTCTTGCTTCATTGCTTGATATTAAACAGTGAATTAAAATGCAAACGCACAGCAAGAAGAGAGATATATGGTCTGAACCTAAACAGCAAGTAGCTTTTCTTTTTAGTTTTTAAAAGCCACCCAATGTCATTTTAATAAAGCACTGTAGGTATGCCTGATGATAGGAAAAAAACCCAAACCCAAAGGAATGCAGTATTTTCTGCCTGCACTTTAGCTACCTTGTCAAGAAATTAATTTACTGATCTGGAAGCAAGACATGCAGTTCCACAAATTATTTTCTTTTGGATTTACAGGTTCACAGTCATTGACCTTAACTGGTTTGAACGCACAGATTGTTTTCTTCAGGTGTTACACCCTTTACTGCTATACAGAATTGCTCCAATTAGCTGGAGAGTTTAAAGTGGCTTGGAAAAAAACTTAAATCACACACCGGTAAGTAACTACTGAAACATCTTGACATCAGCTCATACAAGCAGTGACAGGCCAGTCCGTGTTTGCACGCAGCAGATTTCTGAGGCTTTGTGTCAGGAGGAGTTTCATAACTTGATACGATCGGGGTTGGCTGATGAAACCGGCTGCGGTTTGCTTTCAGGACACAAGTTCATTTACTGTGCAGTGGTATCAAAGAATGGCTTTTGTTGCACTGATTTTTTTTTTTTACAATTTTTTTTCACATATTAATATCTTGATACCAGTCCTTTCCTTTTCTTCTTTTCCTTTCTTTTCCTTTCCTTTCTTTTCTTTTCCTCTTTTCTTTTTTATCTTTTCTCTTTTCTTTTCCTTTTCTTTTTTCTTTTCTTTTCTCTTTTCTTTTCTTTTCTCTTTTTTCTTTTTTCTTTTCCTTTTTTCTTTTTCCTTTTTCTTTTTTCTTTTCTTTTTCTCTTTTTTCTTTTTTTCTCTTTTTTCTTTTTTCCTTTCTTTTATTTTCCTTTATTTTCCCTTCTTTTCTTTCATTTTCCTTTTTTCTTCTCTTCCTTTTTCCTCTTTTTCTTTTTTTTTCTTCCTTTTCTTTTTCTTTTTCTTCTTTCAAGCAAAGCAAGAATATTTCGGTGATGGTTTGCATTGTTGTGAGTCTCAGAGTCTTCCATAAGGCACTGAAGGAAAAAGTACAAGTTTTTCCTATTAAAAGTACATTGCACCATCATCAATGCGTGTCATGCCTGACACCTCGGAGAGAGTACGACTGGCTCAGGTGGTCCAAATCTGTGAAGTAACCACATTCTCTGCTGCTTCTTCTCTTGTGTGCTGTCAGGGTGAGGATCTGTAAGAAAACCAGAAAGATTTCATCACTGCCTGGCAGCGAGGGGCAGGGAAGCTCAGCGTGGGGAGAGGCACAGGCTGTGGGCCATGGGCTAACCAGGCTTTTCCAGTCCTTTTTCAGATACTCAACTCTACTGTTCACACTTTGGAAATCAAGATTTCTAGTGCAGACTCTTTTGTTCTATTGTAATTTTTTGAGACTTCCTAAAAGCACTTACCTGACCTGATCATAGCTTAAAATATATAGGGGAAGAGGTCACTAGCAAGAGAGATGCGAATTCCGACTACAGAAATTTTTAATGCAATTAACAAAATATTTTACTATGTACTGAACTAGCACAATGCTGGAGAAAGGAGTTACTCACTTCAGCATGAAGCCAGCTATTGCTGTTTGTAACACAGGATGGTACCAAACTTACTTCTGCTCAGGGAGGAAATTTAAACCACTTATACTCTGAGACTGCCACCAGATGATGGTTCAAAAGCCCTTTTGCAGCAGTCCACTGATGCCTACATCAAAATATTGCACATGGCTTAAAAAAAAACCACGAAGAAAGAAAGAAAACCCAGAGGGTTTCAGTTCCCGGCCTGTAGCCGTACCCCTAGATTTTCACACTTTCTGTGCCGTACACGTTGTACCCTTCTCTGTAGGTAGCGTAATTCTGGGTGTTGGTGGCGGGGGCAGGTTTGAAGTTCTGCGTGTTCTTGCTGAGTTTCATTCTCTTGGACTCGGCCCGAGACTTGTAGCAGAACTCGATCAGCGCCACCATCATGGCCAGCCCGAGGCCTCCGACAAGGATATAGAAAACTCCAGCAACATTGCTCAGGCTCAGAGCGCTCGTCTTGTCCTAAGAGAAACGAGCCAGGTTGTTAGTTCTGCTGTGAGCAGCAGACAGACAGACAGACAAACAGGCTACCTCGCACTTAGTCCTAACTGGAATAGCTACACTCATGGTGTTGTGTCCCCCTCATGGGCCAGTGCTGTCCCCCCCGTCCCCGGCAGCCCGGGGCTGCGCAGCAGTGACTGCTCCATCTCCCACCCTTTGGTGGGTGAAACCCTGGCCGACTCCAAGGCGGTGAGATTTTTTTTCAGCCACTGCCTTCCCCAGGCCTTCGGCATCCCAGAGCAAACCTGTCTACGGCCGAGCATCTCTGGTGGCAAAGGCACCACGGGAACGCTCTGATGGGGAAAGCAGTGGCTGCATAAAACAGTGGGTTTTACAGAAGGCCATGATAAAACTAGAAAAAGAAAAACCCAAACCACTACACACTTGGTTTTGGTGAATGCAGATAAAATTACTGAGATGCTGCTAAACCTATCTGCCCTTTTTCCAACAGTTAGCAAAAAAACAAAACACCCTAGGAAGGCGGTCAGTTACTTTAAGGTCAAGCAGCAGAGCCCTGAGCTAAACCAGCACCTTCGGTGATCAAGGGACAGTGAGTTACTGAATAAAACCAGTCATGTAACAAAGAATGCTGGCAGGGCTTTACCTTTCTTCAATACATGTCAGCTGGGGGAGCAGGTTTGCATTTTTAAACACAGGATTCTGTAATCAGATTACGCAGAGCTGCAACCTTTTTGCTGCTGCACAGGCCGGCGGGGTGGGAGCGGGGCTGGAGGCATGGCCCCAGCTGGGCTGTCATGGCACGGCAGACACTGGAGCAACCCGCAGCAAGGGGCTGTGCCCAGGGCAGGCACTTGGTGATGGAGCTCGGTTCACGAGTATCTCCACGGACAGCAAAACTTGCATATAGTCAGAATAAAACATGATCCACCTTGTAAGTGAGAGTAACACCTTGTAAGTCAGAATAAGATATGACCTACTCTGCATTTCAGAGAGTCTGGATAGATGCAGTTGTAGCAAACTGCCTGCCACCTAAACTAAAGATATTACTCATTTACACCTCTTTTCAATTATGGTTTCCTTCTGCAGCTCCTGTGTATTCAGATGTCCCATGATCCCAAATCTATCTCATACAACAGCTCCAGGGTTGTGCCCTAAGCAACTTCCAGTCCAGCTGAAATCAATGAATTTTTATTATTGGCTTCGATGGAACTTGCAATTGTCCTCCAACACTGAGAGGGTGCTTCCAAATTAGAGTTTTCTATTGAATGATTACAGTGAGCACTTCCAAAGGCACCTGGGGAGTTAGACACTTGACTGTGACTGATTTCAACTGTAACTGCATTTCTCCTCCTCTTTGTGTCTTTGAAAATGTCCTTGACTTCAACTAAACCCAGCACTTATACATGTTTTTTTTTTCTCCTCAATGGCTCTATAAGCATTAAATAAAACCCAAACAACCAAACATCTGTGTTTTCCTTTAACTAAATGGTGTAATTATTTCCTCCAATTTAAGTGTGCAGCTCCCACAGGGATAGGGACTCCACTTGGGTCTACAGCAGAGAAGCTGCTGGAGTCTGGCTGGCCCTGCAGCACGGCCAGTGTGGGACAGGGCTATACAGCAGCAAAATGGTTCAAAGCAGAAGAACAAAGAACATACAATATTTAAGTAGTGAGTTACCATTAATATTTCTAGGTTTGGGTTTTTTTGGTTTCATTTTGTTTTTTTAAAAATCAAACCAATTTCAAACTGAATTGGGAACTGGGGCGGGAAGGGCATGTTTTTCCTTATCATGGGTCTGTCCTGAAATTGTCCACCCTTAGCAAGCACGTGGCTGTATCCCAAACTGACATGTAGAGAATGTAAGTCACAATTTTGAAACAAAAATGTGGGCTTTCAATAAAACTAAAAATAAGAAAAGATGCTGGCCTGAATAACACACATTGACTGTGCTGAAACTTGCACGTTTAAATGAAGATACCAGCTTGGGAGGTTTTGGGGGCTTCTCTTGCCATATTTTTCTAGCAAAATACTCAAATAGTAAAACATACTTACAACTACAGTCTGTTACTGCATACAAGAAAAATGCTGTCATGTTCAGAGACTTAATTATTTTTTCTATTCTTTTCTTTCAACCTTCAAAATGTAAATACCAACTTTTGAAAGTCATTCTTTGTATAAACAAACAGTGGGTCAAAATGTGATTGCTAATCAGTACAAAAAGACCTTCAGCGACTGACCTTACTTCCGGAGTCCTTGGCTCCACATTCACCCTTATCGTACCACCATTTGTTTTTCAGCTTGTCTAAGATGCCTTGTTCACTGAGTTTCAATACTGCAAGGTTTACAGGAGTTCTTCACGTGGGAAATAACATAAATAACATTATATTATGTTATTTTATGTTATTCAATCTTTAAACTACTTTAAAACTATACAAAGCGATAAAGCAGGGTTCCTGGCCACAAAGTATTTACACTGCAGGCAACTGGATCATCCCCTTAAGTTAAAGCTAGAGCAACGCTATATTACCAGGTCCTGCCCATATCGCTTTGAGTAATCGGCACTCACTGTTAAATGCAGGTAGTAGAAACAAAGCAAGGCCAATTCCCCAGTTTTGTCCCATCACAGGCATTCACAGTAGCTGTATGGATTACAGTGGGTTTGATCTAGCAGGACCCCTCGTATTGCACTAACAGACAGCAAGCCCCACAGACAAGAAATTGCGGCTTCTTGTGGTGAAAGAGCACTTGGGGCTCCAAGCCCCAGGGGTAGGGGGGTGTGTGTGTGTGTGTGTGTGTGTGTGTCTGCAAAGCGAAACACCCCAGGGGGGATGTCACAGAGGCAGTTTTTGCCAGCTGCTATGGCTGTTTCCCTGCTGGCGGTGGTTTCTCCATGCTCGGAGGCACGGCTGCTCTCCCCTGGAGCTGCTGCATCTCAAACTCTGCTGGCCCAGAGAACTGCAGCAGAAAATAAGCAAACGGAGACCTTTATGAAACAAATCAGTAAACACGGAAATACCATCTGAGTGCCCAGGGTGGGAAACGTTGGCAAGAGGAAGGGAGCTGCTGACTGTGGTGCTGCTAAGTGCAGCAGAGACCTGAGCCCAGGGGACCTGAGCTCGCAGGTCCCTTCCCTGCGGGAAAGCAGCACCTGAAGAACCCTCCGTTGGGTTTTGTCATCTCCATTTCCTCCTTGTGTGATGTCTTGGTCCTTTTCCTGTCCGCTTCTGTGAGATAGGCTCCCTGCTTAGAGACATCCTCAGTTTCTGTTCCTGCTTGAACAGTTTTGTTCTGCTCCCTGCCACCCCTGCCCAAAGTGCATGACTCTCTGAAGAGCAGAAGAGACTCAGGAGAAAGGGCAGCACAACTTATGCAAAACACCTTAATTACCGGATTAATTACATGGTGGCATTTAGGGAAATGTCCACCGGCTGGGAGGTCTCACAGCCCTTGAGCAGCAGCAGCAGCTGAGCCCTGCCATGCCTGGGGGAGGTAGATACTGGAAAAAGCAGCTGCTGAAGAAAAGCCCCATTCCCCAATCTGCCAAGAAGTTACTGAGGCCAGCAGGGAGGGCAAAAGCAGGGAAAAGCCACCATGGTGGGGAGAACGCTGGTCCCTGGTCTTAGCAGCAGCGATGCTGGCACTGGCAGAGCTTTCTGGCTGGCCAGGCAGAGGCAGCACCACTCCTCCTGGTCTGCGCAAGGCTCAGTTTGACACCGGCCAAGGTTTTCTTTTTGTAAAATTGCTGTTTTTAAGCAGCAGCTGTAATCTAATTATCAGCCAGGGCAGGCTCTGTACGCACTCAGCCGGACGCAGCTGACGGGCAGCAGTGACAAACCTCACGAGACATGGCACGTTTTCTGGCTTGGCTCTGGCAGCAGGCACGGAGCCCCTCCACCAGGAGCCAGCGGCACCATGAAGAGCCAGCTGTATCGCAGCTACATCTGCATCCACATACAGGTAGGGCCGTAAAATATCGACAGGAACAAAGCACGCTCCACAGACACTGCAAACCCCTGGGTGCTGCAGGTAATGCACCTCCCTCACTGGTTTCTGCTGAGGGGGACCAGCCAGGTCCTGGCCAAGCCACCCCTGCGGACCCTCCTGGGCAGCTGCGTTGTGACGAGGCCCTGGTGACACCCAGGCACATACACTACAAGAAGCTGTGTACGGCTGCAATGGAAGTCAGTGAAAGACCAGGGCCTTTACCCACCCGTCACAAGCCTCAGCAGAAAGACTGGTGTGGATTATTGCTTAGAGAACAGCGCTCTCATTTTAGATTTCATTTTAAAACTATCCAATTTGGAGAGATTTTATGCAATACATCTTTCTGCTTTGAAAAGCACCGTGCAGCTGAGAATAACACAATCAACAGGGAGAAGATTATAAACACCTTTTCTCCTATCCGCATATTGTATTGTGCAAATTTTCCCCTCCCCCCAGTCCTATTCCAAACACTATTTTTAATTTGCATGCCTTTATAAACCCCATATGGAGTACAGAAAATTTGCATAACATTCAATACATTATAGATTAGGTTTCACAACATTATACAGTATTGGGAAATGAGGAGGCTTAACATGCTAATTAGGGTGCTTTATTTTTTTTTTTTAAAGCCAAGATTGCAGTTAATTGCACACAGGCAACTGCCAAAAAAAACCAACCAAAAGTAGTAAACTAAAATTATCTTAACTAAACAGATGGGAATTTGCCTAAGCTGGGGTTTTCACTATAGTTTGTCATAGCCCTGTTTGTCAGGCGAGGTACTGCAATACCTCAGCCTGGGTAGGAAAGAGGTGATTTGCTCTGTCTGTCTGTCCTGACACGAGCAGCAGAGCGGGACAGCCAGACAAATGCTGAGGAGCCACCGGCCGAGCCCTCACGGTGGTGGGGCGCTCTTGTGCTCTGGGGTTGTAACCCATCCTGCCTGGCACAGGGGCTGGCTGCTGGTACGAGGTGGGCACGGCGTGTCAGGAGGGAGCAGGAGCTGGCACTTGTCCTC